AGAGAGTGAGAGAGAACGAAGGAGCCTGATCTGATCCCCCTAACTGCAGCCTGGGATTGACTGCCTGGTACCTGTTGCCTGTCTGGTGGCCTGCCCCATTGCCTGGTAAATATTTGCGCACCATTGTTGTGGCAAGTGTTGAAAGTGGGCGGTTGCCATTGCCAAACACACAACACACAAATACACAGCACACCATAATCGTCTATCCCTAGCAGAGTGATTTCTTATGGCAGTTCAATTGCGGAGGTCAGCAACGTGTCAGTATTCGAAATTGGCTCATTGCCACATTGCAGATGCCACACCATGCCGTGCCTCGTCCACTGGTTGAATAATTTATGGATCCACTGTGGGAACACGCCTTCTTCTAGCATAGGAAATTATGGGAGTTTCTTTCTAATATTTCAACATCTCCATCTCATCCAACTCTATTTACCTACAATATCGGCTTAGCCATAAGGCAGGCAGGAAAGTGTCACGTCCTGTGGGCTCATTCTTGAATCTCACTCTCTCTGCCTGCCTGCCCCTCTCGAGCACTCGCCTGCACCTTAGCGGTGTTTTGTCAAATTTAACACTTTTTCTTCATCTGTCATCTACATCTACAACACTTCTCACACCAACACGCTCCTTTAGCTAGCCACCCTCCCCTAGAGCCACACACTGCCGAGTCAGGGCTGAGAAGCGGCAGAGACGAGCCAGAGGCAAAGGAAGAGACGTGTCTGCGCGAAGCAGAGTGTGAATGAGAGAATGTGCAAGAAACAAACATAAGCTGCGGGACGGGGTGGGTTTAGCCACTGCAAATTAATTATAATAATAATGTTTCCGCAACTCCTCGCAACCAGTTTGGAATAAAAATCTCGAAGTAAAAAGCCAAGTGCTGCTGGTTCGACCGAGTCGGAAATCAATAAATTTAATACTCTCCTTCTTTCAATTTCGCTATTCACCTATTACATCCATGTTCTTCCTCTTTGTCTATCGATATTCACATATTACATGTATGTTCTATAGCAACAATCTTCTGTAAGTATGTCTTAATGCTACAATTCAATTTCTTAATGCTACAAATTCATTTTACTTATATCCAAATAGTAATTGCTCCCGGCCATAAGCCCTTTGCGCAAATTTGGCGTAAACATACTCCCGGCCTTGGAAGCTCCTTCCAACAATTTTACTCGGTGTCTTCAATCGGTAACGGGCAGATCTTGTGTATGTTGCGCTTGTACAATCCTGATTTGGAAAACTACCACTGATGTGCTTGATATGGTAGTCACGGTCCTACTTGAACTACATGTGCTGGGTCTCTGGTAACAGGACCCCCATACAACAGAAGAGGTTAATTCTGGTTTTACTGAACAACTTACAACAACGTATGGCTTCTGGTGAACGAAGCGAGGACGTTGTTGCAGTTTATGAGGTCGCTGGTCGCAGAGG